GGAGAGCGGATTGGTGAAAGTTGAGATCGTGACTACTGGGAGCGAGTTTGGGCCATTGGCTGAGATTGCAAAAGGTGAGACTAACTTCTAGATGTGTCTTCCCCACATACGGCGCCAGATGTTTGAGCTCGAAATTGCTAAGCTCGGACGTAATGTAGATTGGAACGCTCAGGATGAAATGTGGCCAATGGTCCAACGCCTTTCCAGAACACTCTAAAGACCTGCAAAACAATGTTAGTACTCCGACGAGCAAGTTAGTTCCGAGCTAACTTGCCGAGTCTACTTAGGATTGCGTACCTTGCATTTAAGGCTACTGTTTCTATTTATAGAAACTAGGCCCGACAGGAATTCTGACACACCCTAAAATCGCGGCGTGTTGTCGGGTACGGAAGAGACATTGTTACGGACTTTGTACCAGGTCGGCTCGGCAATGTAGGTCCTACCCTTACTGCCGACCTGAGTATTTCGAAGTCAATTTCTACATTTCGTCCGCGTGTTCATCTAACTCACCTTTTGGATCATGACACGTGGCAGGCCAGGATTCGCATCCAACATCACTCATACCTATTAGTTTATATTGTAACAAAGTATGAATTGATAAAATATGGAACATTCAAATAAAAATACAAAAATATTTTTCTTTGGATCGAATATGTTTTTGCAGACCAAGTTTTTAAAATAGATGACCAATTACACCTCGTAGATGATTGGTGGTGACTCCAAACCCTTATCTTGAAAGAGACCTATCAGGGGATGATGTTGGTCGCTCCGTATCGCGATGAGCGCGACAATGTTAGTTGAAAATTTTGAAAACGATATCACTTGACAAAATGATGTCGGTTTTATGGGTAGGCGCCTGATTTTCAGAAAATTTAAGTTTTAATGTCGGCTTTAAACCGACGTTAAAACGTTTCAATTAATGTCGGTTGGAAACTGTTATGGTAAAAAAAGAAAAATATGCATGCACGATTGGAGTTCAAAATGACGTCATTCTAGTAAATAAAACGATGTTGTTTTCATTAAATTTAAAACTTACATTAAATCAAATATACGATGTCGGTTTAAAATTGACATGAAAATGAAAATAATAATGTCGGTAAACAACGTCGTTTTATCACGCTTAAAAAACACAGACACGTTCCGCATGAAACAACGTCCTTTTGGTCATGGATTTCTTAAAATAAGCCTAATATCAACGAAACCTAATTGGTTACCGTAATCTGTAACTTATTTTAACCCTAATTGGTTAGACACACAATATCAGGCTTTATTGCAGAAGAGATTTTATGCCTTCAACAATCAAAGGAAAGCCACAATAATCAAACGCATAAAGGTACAATATAAATAACAATTTTTTAATAAATTTTCATTACTTACATGAAAATAGCAATTCTGAAACTTAGGAGAGTTTGTGATTTAAATTATTTTCTAAATTAAATATTGCCCAAAGTGTACCAACACTTTATTTTTTTAAATCCTGCATCTCTTTTAGTTTAATCCCCAAAAATCAAAGAATCAAAAGCCTTTGAGAACGCGAGTTCTCATGTCTTCAATCTCGTTGTTTATGTAAGGATTTGCACAACGTCAAACTTCAGTCAAGCTCGAACTCTATTTTCGCTCCAACCTGAAATTCTAAGGGAAGATATGCACAAGAGGGCAAAATCTCCGACGCTCAAGTTAGTAAGCAACTCAGACTCAATATTAAGTTCGAGGAGAAATTTGATACCTGATGGTGAAATGAGGTCCTCTATTTATAGGTTTAAGCTCCGACAGGGGTTACGACAAGCGGTTACCTTGGTCGGAGTTGAGGTCAGTACTGTCAAGTTTGAGTAGATCGAACCCAGACAACTTTACTCATATTAATGGCTTATTGGTGGAAATAACGGCTAAGTCATCTAGCTCGGAACCCTCTAAGGTAGAGTTATGCGAAACAATATTTGGGGTGTCCCTTTGCAACGAACCACTGTCCTCCACATGGCAATCTGGTTTTCACCCTCAAACATTAGCCTCCTCTCTGCCAGGTTCGAGCTCGATCTAGTAGAGAAGTTGTTTTATTGGGAAACCAATCCACGTGGTGACTTCCAACCTTGAGATAATAAATGTTACCGTTGGAGAACCTCGAAAACGAACCTGTCATTCGGCACGCACTCGAGTACCTTTGCCGTTCGGACTTCCTTCGATATGGATCGTTCCTTTTAGAACACGTGTTTGGTCGAGATTGAATTTCGGGACACTATAAATACCCCCAAGACTTCAAATACGTTTTCCACGCTTCCTGAAATCTTAGAATCCGACTTGAGCAGTTCGGAACTTACTTTAGGTCAGTCTTGTACTTTTGCTTTTGCTTCGCACTTTCACTTTTAGAGTCATGTCTTCGTATTCTAGCTCGTCAAGTTCTTCTAGTAGTAGTTCATTTGATAGTATAGTTTAGAGTCGGAGCCCTTCACCTAAGAAGGCTTACGCTGTATAAGAACTTGCAAATAGATTAGACTCTGAGTTGGAGGGGGAGATGATAACTTTAGGTTCCCTGAAGATGATGGGGTTGATAGTGACACATCCACCTCGGGCCAAGGTTTGGAGTTCCCATCTCAGATGCCGAAGAACTACCTCGGCCCTCTCCGTAAGAGGTATAGTATTCCGGACG